CCCTGTTTGTCTATTTAAATGTACCACTTTGAAGTCATCTGTCACCGGTTAATTACAAATAAATGGTACTCCACTTTATGCTTTTATATATTCCCCAGCCTTGTCTAACAATGTGTCTTTCTCTCCCTTCCAGGTTGTGTCTCATGTCTCATCGGAGCAGTTCTTATTGTGTTCAAGGATTTGGTTGGTTACATTTTCACCACAGAGAAGTACGTACTTATGTTCGCACAATGAGCTTGTGACGAAGTGTAATTCATCATGTATTAACTTCAGAGGTGAGTGACCCATATCAGCAAAGTAAACTTGGACATTTTGTGTAATGCGTCATCACTACCGGAGGCAGGCCGTTTTATTGCTAGTTTAATTCTATTGACTTTGTACTAAGCTGATATTCAGTATCAAACATTTTAATATTTTCATTTTTCTTTCAGAGACATTATTCAGAGGGTGTCAGATGTCATGAAGATGTACGGCGTAATCCATGTCGCTGAAGCCATTGCGGTTAGAAACTTTTGCCAATAAATCACATTATTTCTCTGCAGAGCGAACGGAACCAAACTTTTTTTTTTTTTTTTTTTTTTACATTTCTCTTTATCTCATCTCCACAGGGTGTGACCGGAGGTATTGTCAGGGGGACAGGGAAACAAATGATTGGTGCTGTGTGCAACTTGGTGGGTTTCTACTTGATTGGGCTCCCCATTGGAGTGTCTCTGATGTTTCCTGTTAAAATGGGCATTGTAGGTAAGGGTAAAAAAAATTACAATATAGTGAAAATGTTGACACATTTTTACTCAAACTAACCAACAGCCCTCTTCCATCTCTGTCGCAGGGCTGTGGTCTGGGTTTTTAATTTCCGTTTTGATACAGTCTGTTTTTTTTATTGTTTTCCTGTGTAAACTAAACTGGACCAAGGTCACAGAAGAGGTGAGTAACTCTGGTCTGTTTAATTATTACAGTGTAATAGCTATTATCTACAGTGTAGACAGCATGTGATAATAATACTGTAGCTTGTTTTCCTGTGACTTTTCAATATAAACGATTCTTTGTTATTGTTTTAAATATCTCTGAATAGGCGCTGATAAGAGCTGGAGTCCACATTACAGAGAGGAACAAGATCTTCGGGATAGAAAACAAAGGTAACACCAGTAGCTGTTAACTTTATCAATAGCTCAATATGGATGTCTTCTCCCTGGGAATCATGTTTTCAAATCCCCGACAGCCCCGGACTCTGGTGAGAAACAGGGCCACGTACGATCCAGTTCTTTGAGTGGTGTGGAGGGGAAGCTGGAAGGTCAGCAGACTTCAGATGACGTGGTTCTGTCAGTCAGGCAGCTGGTGGTGCGACGTGGCCTCGCCGTGCTGCTCATGTTCATCATCCTCGCCGCTGGAGTCTTCATCAGCGAGCTCCTCATCAGACTGCTAGAGTTAGACGGGTGACCATCATCAGACCTCCTGTCTGCAGCATGAAATAAGCTCTGTGAGTGTGCCTCTAAAGGTGCAGATGCATCTTCATTTGTGGTAGAAAATCATGTCAATCAGAGGAAACACTCAAACCTACATTCAACTACAAAATGATACATTCAACAATGTCTCTACAAGATGATGTGATTATGATGAGAAGGTCAAATCAGCCTTCATTGATCCACTTTTATAAAACGTATGTCCATCTATCATGCACTAATGACCAGCAAATAGCTGCATCACAATAACAAATGTTACACAAGTCAAATTGTTTCATAACTGCATTAAATAAGGTGAATTATTGCACCATTTAGAGAAGTTGTTGAATTCATGTATATCGATTTTAATTCATCTACCTTCATTACTTCATACATAAGGGAATTTATATATTTTAATAGTTTCTTTCTCTAACCCTATAATACTTCAAACTCACTCACTAATGAGTTCTGATATTAGACACGTTTTGGAAAATCTGAAAAGAGAACTCGACTGAAAAAAGGCAGCCAATGAAAATCTTGCATAGGGAGGTCTCCTTTTTATAGAAACATGCTGTGTAAGAAGGTTTCCTTTTGAGACACTGACGAAATGTATGGTCTTATTGTGAAATACAGTCTGAATGGATGCCACAATTAGAAAGAGCATGATTAAATGCTATATTTAGAATACAGCGCATTCGTGGATGTGTGCTTTCATCATCAAAGACAGAAGAGCTGCTCTTTCTCTTTGGTTTATTTCCGTTGCCTTTGATCTGTGTTGACAAATTTGACGATAATGAAAGGTCTGTACGCTCACACTGCATCGTGCTGGCTGGATGAAGACATGTCAAACTGAGTAAATCAACCTGCTACCTGTGCACTCTGTGCAGCAGCAGATAACTAGCTAGCTCAGGCTTCACAGTTGTGGGCTGCTCACAAATACAAATTCCCCTTGGTAACAGCAAACAAGTAACCCTGTGTGATTTTCGGAAATACGTACATGGTGTTCCTCTACAAATCCATTAAAAGCAAATGGGGTTTTGGGAGATACTCTGATTTGAGTAACACTTTATTTTAAGGTACACAAATTAACCATCAACTAGTTGTTAATCAACATGCATATTAGCAGTATATTGGCTCTTTATTAGTCATTATAAAACACTTATTCATGCCTTATTCTACATGACCATATTCTACAAGTAATAGGCCATTAGTTGAGAGTTTTTCCTCAATAACCCTCTAATTAGTGCTTATTTACTGCAAGTAAGGAAGTTGTTGTGCATGAGTTTTGGTCTTAATATGCGCTGCTCAATATGGGCCTAATAAGGCAGTAGTACCACAAGAATAGTAATTCTCCCATAATAACACTTAACAAATATGATCTATTCTTATGTAACAAGACATGAAACTATAAGTGTTAATTGTGTCTAAATAACTCAAGATTAAGTATTAATATCTAAGAATATGTTCCCTAATAAGTGTTTTATAATGACTAATAAAGAACCAATATACTGCTAATATGCATGTTAATTAGCATTAACTAGTTGATGGCGAATTTGTGTACCTTAATATAAAGTGTTACCAAAGACTGATACCACTCATGTCTGTAGCTGAGAGTATCTAGTCTAGTTGTATTTAAGCCCTCCTGAAGGGACTTTTCTTTGGTACAGATTAACAACTTCACATTTAGACAGGCTCATTTCATTATGTTAAAACGTAAAAAGAAAATTCATCTTCCAGGTATCCATAAAAGTCTCAACTCCACTGTACAGAGCCAACGCACTCTCCAAACTGACATCGTCACCACAGCCTTGCAAAGCAGTCCCATAAAAAAGCATGCATATTAATTTGACGTTATTCAACATGTAAATCAGTCTTGATTCATACATGGTTACGTCTGAGCTTCTGTGTTGCTCATCAGCGCAGACATTGTCCCCGGCTCCTCACAGAGACCCGCTCACCTCCGGAGACTGCAATCAGTGACATGCTGGGGCATCATTAACAAGTGACGCTGGAAAGATTTGCTGTCAGTATCTTTAGACTACAACTTGCGATACAGTGGCTAAAAGATATCTCATAATAACTTCTTTAGTGTTGTGTTGCCATGCAGTATAATAACATACCAAAGTGCAGTGGAAGCTATTGCATTATCCCGTTGCATTACAGTCCAGATGGTCCTGCCGTATTTACCTGAATCCATTTTCCGCGTCTTTTTTGCTATCTTTTTAACCTGAATCTCTTTCTCAGATTCCGAATCAGAAACAGGTTTATTACCAGGTAGGTTTTCACGTACGAGGAATTTGACTTGGTGTCGTGGTGCATAAAAACAAGAATTAAAAACACAAGTAGAAAACTAGAAAAATATTAAAAATATATAGTACAATATAACAATATTTACATTGCAATGGAATGGAGGAATAAAATATGGAATACAAATCAGCAGTAATACAAAATATTGTTGTACATTGTTTGCATTAATATTTGTCATTGATTGGTGAGTTCTGCTGTCAAGTGCCAAACTGAAGCGCAGAGGCTGTCCGTTAAGAGCAGTGGCTAAATAATCACTTTCACCTTAAACCACTTATTAAAGAATATCTGAATCCATAACATTTAATAACTAAACCTTATCTGAGTCTTTTTTAGTAACATAATTACCAGCCTTCTCCCTCAAATCTCAACCTTATTTGTTGGCTCAAGAAATACTAGTAATCTATTAATCCCAATTACGACTATTAAAAACACCATTACATGTTACTAGTTAGACGCTTTTATCCAAAGCGACATACATACTCAGTACTGTGGGCAATCCCCACACGAGCAATTTGGGGTGAAGTGTCTCAGGGACACAACGACATGCTGACTGCAGTGGGGTTCGAACTTGCTATCCTCTGATTCGAAGATCAGCGCATTAATCCACTGCGCCACACGCCTCCCTATGAGCGAGATATTGTGCGTTCAGCCTCTTCTTAGATGTTTTTACATTTTCTAATTAGACTAAAAATCATGTGTTTAATTTGTTGTAGTTTTTCCCACAGTATAACAGGCTTTTTTTGATGGCATGTCTCGAATTGTTTTGCATGTAGCAGTGTATTTGCAATCGCCATCACTTGCCCTTACACAGTGTTAAGAGGGCGTTACAGATGCTGATAATAAACAATCTTTCACGTGCATCACATTGTTACCATTAGGTGAGATTCATTGTTTGCGTAACACCACATGTGGATGATTAAGAAAGTTTTGTGCAGTTCTGAAATTGACGTATTTTATTTTTACGAATGCTGCCTGAGGCCTGTTGTGTTCCTGGTATGAATGGACATTTTCTGTGATAAGACTATAACATATAGCCACTTTAGCAGCTTTTTACTGATGCATCTACTTTACTAGGACTAAGAGTAGCATTTACTGCCCACCATACGAGTCTCCTGGATGCTGTGACTTCAACAGCAGGGTTCAACATAATTTATATTTCTTCCTTACAACTACTTATTAAAAACCCTTGAAGATTAGTTCAGTCTGTAGTCTACAAGTCAGACTTCAATAAACGTCTTGGGGAAATAATACATATTGGCTTCCCTGTGTTAAGTTTTTATTGTTAAAGTATTATTTTTTGTATTGATTAGGGTTCAATCAAATGGCAGTCATACATAAACAGTAAAAAATAATTAGCTTATCATTTATCAATCACCTCTGTCATACAGGATTGGCAGTGATATAGGAAGACAATGCAATAATATACTCATGTTACATATTTACATTTAAACATGTACATTTTACAACAGATATTTACAGTCATCTTACACTTACAGTTAAAACACGACAAAATGATTTGAGGTCAGTGCAAAACATAAATCAAGGCAAGAATAACGGCCCGTCCACACAGCGGCGTGCGTTGAAGCTTCCAACGCTTCTGCCCATTCACTTTGAATGGGGTGACGTCACTTTTACCCGAACTGCATTTTGGGAAGCGACGTGGAGCGTTGCTGGCGTTGCTCGCTTCAAAAGTTGAGCAATGTTCAACTTTTGACGCCTCAACGGAGGCGTCAGCCAATCAAATCATATGCCAGTACAAGCTCTAGCCAATCAAACCGTGTGCTTGTGTGTCTGGGGCGGGAGATTCATGTGATTGGTTGTTGGTCGAGTGTCGGACACGCCCGCCGGCAAGCGTCAACGCACGCCGATGTGTGGACGGGCCGTAAGGGGAGGAAAATCAAAAGCTATCTGTGGAGGAACTCTCTAACCCACGGTGTCTCCTAGTGAGGGATTTATAATGTGTCTCGTGATCCCAGTTGAACATCTCAGGCTGGGCAAAAAAGATGATCTTTGTAGCAAGACCTTTGTTCATCCTGCCAGTCTCATTTAATATTTCTTCCAGCTTTCTTGGGCTCAGCAGTGCAGCACTGAGGCGTATTTTTTCCCCCTAACATGTCAGGCTGTAGTTTTACAAAAACCGGTCTACAAGCAGAACTATGGATGTTAGGCTTTTTTCCTGTAGGAGATCTAAATTGTCAGTTTATGAGAACTGAGCTAAGCCACTCGAGACATTCAAAGACAGCTCAGATGTCCTGGTGTAGTGGAGACAGTGGTGTAGGGGTGGAGTCATTATTCCAGTTCAAGGTGAAGTTGGCACTGTTCTTGGCGGAGAACTCAGGTACAGGGAAAGCAAAGTGGAAAGCCACACCTGTGGCCAAAATGAGAACTGAAATAACAAGGATGAGCCCTCTGCGCAGGATCAGCTCAGTGACAGAAAGCAGTGTTATAGTTTTGGTGTCTTTGGAAGTCTTTTCGCTCTGCTCAGCGCCCCGCTCGGCTCCTACTGCATTGATGTTGTTGTCCTCTGCCTCAGGAAACACTTTCAGCTCCTGATCCTTGGAGTTGACTGGACAGTAGCCATCTGATTTCAGGGCTTCGCCATCCAACTCCTTCGGAGCGCAAAGAAGTTGCTGTTAATCAATGTATGAGTAGCTAAAAGATTATAAACAGGGACACAGGAGGGAGAACATCCTGCTTTACTCCACACCACATACTGTAATGCACTCACTGTGATAGGGCAGTCAGAGATGTCCGGCACCATCGCTTCATTTAGCAGAGTACTGATAGGACGCTTTGGGCTCACCACCACTCTCCTTCCACCCCGCAGTTGAGCCTGAAAACGCATTAAAGTGAGTTTTATGAGGGAAAATATTTTATAGTAAAAGTATTGGCTTTATTTTGACTTTACTTTGTATTTACTTAATTCAGTAATTTGTACAATGTTTGAGTGTGTATTCAATGTTCTGCTTCAGCGTGTAGGTTGTTCCGTTTATTCTAATGAGTGAAGAGAGATAACTAAAAGCTATCCAAATGAAAAAAGGCAAATACTGAAACATGAAGAGTTTAAATGTTCCCAAAATTAGGAGCCAAAATATTTCCGTTAATTGGAAGTTTCAAATGATGCCCTCAATCTATTAAGCCATGCATGCTTTAATGAAAGATTCAAATATCTTACCTTGTGTGTGATTTTCTTCCAGTTGAGTTTAAAGATTAGAAAGAGGAAGAACCCCATCTCAAGTACAACACAGATAAAGATACCCAGCCACAAGCCTAACCAGAGGGACACAAAAAGGCACGATTAAAGAAGAATCTACAGTGTATTAATTTCACACATACAAAAAGAAAAACATATGACATTCATGACAAAAAGACTAAGAAACAGTCACGCCAACGGCTAATGGACAAATTGAAAATGTCCCCTGCCGATCCCCAAAGTTATTGCAATTCATCCTGACGGGGACATGAGTGTGTGAGAACTATATATTAACGGAATAAATTCAATAGTTGTCACGACTAGTCCCTAAAAACAACAACATGTCAATGATCATCAACATTCCGATCCCTACAGACGTTCAGTGCCTGGTTAAATTGATTAAAAGGGTTGCTGGAGGCTTTATCAGGTACACTAAACGTCAAAGAAATTGGATGTTACACGAGAGACACATTTAAAAAGAGTCTGGTCAAACTTATTTCCAAAGAGCTACACAATAAGGTAGCAAGTCTCTAGTAAGTTCTTCTTGGTTTGCCTGAAGAAATAAAGATAGAAGCAAGAAGAAATAACATTTAATAACAACTAAACCTTATCTGAGTCTTTTTTAGTAACATAATTACCAGCCTTCTCCCTCCACTCATAGTAATACACCCTTATTTGTTGGCTCAAGAAATACTAGTAATCTATTAATCCCAATTACAACTATAGAAACACTATGAGAAAGCAAGAAGATATACAACTCACAAGATCAGAGCTTTGACACACAATAGGTAGATGTGTGTTCCATTTATCAATACATGCACACTTTGAGTGGACTGATAGAAAGGAAATGTAAGGAGTGTGTGTTGCAACAGGACCCAGTGAGTTTGTGTGCAAGTATTTGAACCTTGACTGAAATGTAGACACGCTACTTCAATTCCAACTTCTGCTGCCATACTGAAGATGTGCTGCACATTGGACAATACAAGAAATGTATATGATTCAAGTCCAAACCCCAGTCTTTGATGGCATACAAGGAAATTGAGGTGTGAAACGTTCTAAACCTCACAAATAAAATAGCCTGGCTTAAATAGATTCTTTTTGAGATACCTGCCTGTTTACATCAACTGGGTACAAACCCTTTTTGTGGTGCCAGAAGGAGCTGTTAGTAATCTGGGGAAAAATCTTGTATAATGTCACTTGAATCAGTGTCTCGTTGGGGCTGAAGCCTACAAGTTAAAAACAATATATATATAAATATATATCTGGAGGTGTGGAGTTAGAAAGAAGTGAGAGGTCAGCCTGTTCACGCTAGTGGCTCAAGGCTATGTTAGCATAACATTAATCTGCACTGTCAGTGGTCTATTTGCGTTAAAGGTACTGTAGGCACCAGTTTTTGACAATGTGAGGAATAAAAAGAGATTATTTTTCTGATCTACCGCATGGATTTAGGTATTATTTTATAGTGAACTAAGTCATAGGGGTGCCATCCGGAGACATTGTTCCAAAAAAGGTTGGCGTAAAGTCACGGCAATAATACATATTTTTTTCATATTTTTGTATAGCTTGTTTGCCAAAACATAGAGGGTTGAAATAGGAACGTTACCTAATATCCTGAGCTTGGCAGCAAACATCAGAGCTATTCCCACTGGCAGACCAACGCAGTAGTAACACACCATGTTGGACAAGGCGGCAATTTTCTGCATCCCAGCTCCCACAAGAATCCCTGAGCAAACACACTGAAAACACACACCGATTGAAACAAAGAGAAACAAGTGATGTTCATTCAATGAAACAAGCTCTATGTACTCAATGCGAAATAAGACCTTTTTGTTGTGTGATAACTTACCAGAAGTGCATCAAAGAACTGTAAAAATATGTAGACTGTGAGGTTCTGTGAGACCATGTTCACAATGTTTCTGCGGAGAGTAGAAGAAGCAGATTATCAAAAACAGAGTTGCCTTTACGTGTGGCAGAAATGAACGTGTGTTCATCTGAAACTCACTCATCAGAGGTGAATATGTAGCCAACGACAGACTTGGAGCTAGCGATGACGACACCCTGGAGTAAAGCAAGCATTCCTATAGCAAAGACATTACAAAAATGGGAGAAAAGGTGCATGTTTCATGATTGTCAATACAACTAAAGTACAGTTTTTCTTTTGTCATCTATTAGTAGAAACGCATACACCTCCCAACCAATCAGCATCAAGCATTCTCTCTTGGCAGGTTTAGTTTGTATGAATTGGGTATGATTGTGTTTACAAGAATATGCTAATGTTTACATACCTGACAGAAACAGAGCTACTTTGCAGGTGACTAAGGCCCTGGTAGTGTTCCCGGCCCCCAGAGCATTCCCAACACGCACACAGGCAGCTGCATGGACGCCTAGAGGGAACTGCAAGGACCCAATGTTACTTTGTGGTATCAGTTATTAAGTCAGCTTTGAAATACGCTTATTCACTTTCTTTTCGAGCAGCATTCAGCTCGAGCACATCCTTCTGAATGTATGTCCTTTTTTGAATGGTATAGATATTCCTATCTAAAGTGAATTTCCCAAAATGCTGAATTATTTTTAAGAATGTGGTTTACAAATACCATATATGTTATGGCTCCTACTTCCACCAATACATGCTGGGCAGCAAGATCCACCTCTCCAAGTACACCTGATGAAAGAAGTCACATTCAGAAAATGAGTGGTTATTTGTATATGCTGCTCTTAATTATTAATTAACCACATACTGCTGGTGGTTAGGCTTCCCTCTTTAAACCAGAATTGATTTCGGGCAAATAAGGTGAATTTATGGAGACACGTTACAGTGAATGGGGGAGGTTGTCTGTTGTCTGTCCACAACAATTGTTTTTCAGAAAACAATTGTTGTTTCTTCACCTTGTGTACCTTGTTTTAAGTAATTTGGTTTATTTAAAATCAGTCTTTCCAGTCTAACATTTTTTAAATATTCTTATTCAGCAATTTAAAAAACCTATGTAAATGGAGAGCATATTTACATTTACTCTGATGGTATAAATATTTCTTTGTAGACATTTGTTATCTACATCTTCAGATACTTATGAAAGCTTCACTCAAATTGACTCAAGACATTTCTAAGAAAACACAGCACTTACCTGCAAGGATACCGCCGACATCCCAGATCCACCATTCAAAGCAGACCATGAAAAGACTGGGGACAGCCAGCCTCATGTAGGAGCCCCACTCCTGCAGACAGTCAGTGGACCAGCCTGCAGAGAGTTTCAAACACAAGGGTTATACTCAATGTGGCCTGTAGAGGACGACAGACGTATTTAGTCAAATCGTATTATGTAAATGACTTGCCTCCCCATGTTTGCTGATGGAGCTTCTTCCATCTGATGTATCCAAACAACAGAAGGCAGATTGCAATCTGAGAAATGCTGTTAGCAATTGCTGATCCACTGTAAACACACATGATAGAACATATTTTCAAACTGGATCGTTGTGTAGTGATGGTCTACACCTACTGTGACTCTATCCCTCTCTGGTGAAGGACTGAGAGGTCAAAAAAGGTCAGCAAACAGACAGACACACTTCATTTCTAAGGGTCATAGACTACGTTTTGAAAATGTGGAATCCGGAGGGGAGGGACAGACCTGACTTGACCCGACCACAGGGACTTGATCGGTTTAGTGGACTGCCTGTTGAACCAAATGTTTGTCCAGCTGGACCAGGATCAACTCCTGTCACAGCGCTCTCTTCTTTTCCTACACTGCCTCCCTCTCTCTAAAAATAAAGTACACAAATAATAAACATCAGTACTGCTGGCTTAGTTTTAACAAAAAACAAATCTTCTTAGATTTATTAAAGTGCATAATGAGCTCTCTGACCTCCTGTCCCTTATTCACAAAATCCTGGCTGTGCATCAGCCCACAGCCTTTTGCTGTTTGAACAGCAGTGATCAGCAGAGTTTCTCTGCTTTGTAAAGGTGTACAGTCACTTGTACCGTTTATCAGTCATGATACTTGAGGCCTGATACCATAGACTGTCATGCACAAAGTGTATTAACAATGCAAATGTTAGGAGAAAAAGTATGCCACTTACATGACACCCATGTCGAGGCTGAAGATTAAGACATAGTTGGCCCCCAAGTTGAAAATGTTTGCTACTGCTGCCGTGTACATCTGAGGCAGAATGATCCCCTGACAGAAAAACATGAATTCACAATCAGCTATCCATCTGTGTAGCTTATATTGAAAGAGCGTTATTAATGTAGATTCAATATAGACAAATACAGCACCCTGGTAACATGACAGGCAACAGCCATGCTAGCAGCTTGGTGAGGCTAAGCTGAAATGCTCTCAGTAAAATGTTTACCATGTTCTCGGTTTTAAACATGAAGTTATTATTTTTTTTGTACTACTTGAGTGTTACCATTTCCTGATTGGGGAAATATTAAGATAGTCCTTTTTTTTAGGCAGGGCACCCTTCTGAACTTCAGTGAACGAGAAGTGAACCTTTTTCCATTCATAAACGTACCTGGTTCTGCAGGTAGGCAACTTGCAGCATGTGCACAAACATGGCCTGTAGCAGGGAGACACAAAGGGGAATATTACAACTGGTAAACCTCTCAGATAACAGCCTGAATTCTCCACTTTGATGATACTTTTAGATGTCATAAGTTGCTTCGCTTCAACAACTTGACTATAAGTTTGGAAAATATATTGACTGTTAAGCTTGTCCAGAGACACCACCTGCTAATGTTTTATTTCACTTAATGCTGTTACTCCTGCCTTTAATTAATAACTTGAATACACCAGAGAGATTATGAACGGAACCCGATGGAGCATGATTCATTTTTTATGCACAGACAATGAAATGGCAAACACTGTTGGACATTTTATCAACACAGTTTCACCATTTGAATGCAATATGTTGTAGTTATTTAGCCACCTCACATCCCACAACGGTTGTCAGCTAAGGTACTTATTGAACTAACTGTTAACACTTGAGCCAAACGTAATAAGAGTACTAACAATAGTAAGGTTACAGTGTACATAAACATGCTGCATGGCTTGGAGACTAGACAGCACAGAGTACTATCTTTTGAGTCTTCACTATTTGAGGAATCATGGAGCCATGCTTGCTATTTTTTTGGTCGCACCTAAACTTGGTAGACATTTCTTGTTTGTTTTTTTAATACGTAGTCTATAGTGTGTCCTAATTCTGTAGCTCAAGTCACTGCAGTATATTCTATATAATAAAATGTACTAAATAAGGCTGTACAAAATGTTGGGCCTATCTTTTTGTTTTTTCATTGCACTCACTGGAACAGCTGGTAGATATGCCATCACGTAGATCTGGGCGATTCTGAAAAGGAGGCAAACAGAGTAATATTCATCTAAAGTAGTAGAGCATAAACTTTTGGCTCAAACATGTCCCAATTTGTACATGTCTTTATATGCAATATCAAAACGATGTGTTTGTTCACATTAAATTGCTTAAAGGTAGGGTAGGTAAGAATGGAGAAACCAGCTTGAGTGCGCTAGAATTTGAAAGTACAAAATCGAAAAAAATCTGCCCCTTCCTTCAGACTTCCTTACAGAGCCCATCCTCCAACACACACGAACGCGCACACGCACATTTTGACAGCGCCACGGCTTCCACAGTTGCATTTTTGTATGTATTTATTGTCAAAGCATTTAATGTAGTGATGGGAATTCCGGCTCTTCTTGGTGAGCCGGATCATTTGGCTCGGCTCACCAAGAAGAGCCGGCTCTTTCGGCTCCCAAACGGCTCTTCAGTTTACCACATATTATACCTTTTAATTCAATCAAATGTAGCCCTGTTTTGACTAATGATTTATATGTGTACACACATATATCACTTAAATTATTCAATACATCCTTTGTACTGAAGTATTCAAAAGTAAAAATGACATGTTTAATATAAATGATTTGCTGTGGCCAAATGTTTTCATTGCATTTACAGACCCGTGTAACTCTCTGATCAGGGTCGGCTCTAGAACAAATCGAATGGGGGGGCAATCATTTACCAAGGGGGGGCACACACTGCCGTCAACAACCAACACACAAACACCAACGCAACTTCAATTTCAAAAAACATGCTGTAAAGTCTGTTGTCTTTCACACACATTGCAGGGTGTAGTGCTATTGTATAGCGCACCTATGACTTGTGCATACATGCACGGTTGTGGCACGACCACCAAAACAGAAACATATAAGGACAGAGGGTGTCGTTTTCTCATACTGATATTCTGCATAAACTGTGCCGTTGTATTTGCTGTAAAGTGTCTTTACTGTAGGTTATTTATTATTATATGTACAGCACTTTGGCTCGACCAAAAATCGTTGAAAAATGTGCTATATAAATAAAACTTGATTTGATTTGATATGGACATAGGCCAACATATAAAAAGTGTGCAAATGTATTTAGTATCCTGTCCATGTGAACATGTTTTAGGTGGGGGTGGACCTAACCTCCTCTAGGAGGGTCTGGGGGCATGCTCCCCCAGGAAGATTATTTTTAAAATATTGAAGTTAAAAGCATCAATCTGGTGCACTTTGAGAGCAAAGTGAAGAGATCTATGGATAGTCTACATCTCTCAGCATCCATAGGAAACAGAACTGTACAGATTTACTTTTTCTTTATGGATATTTTACTAATCACTCCCCTTTAAACTGTATTCTTGTGTTACTGTCCTATAGTATTTCATACCCGTTTTTCATTTATTCTCTCTTTAATAACTATAATGATCATATAAACTTAAGGTATTCCTCGAAAATACTTACATAAATGGTGACCAAACCGTTTGAGACCCACTGAGATAAGATAACTTACACTAAAGTGAACTATCTAAACACTGAGAGAGTCCTTACCTCACTGAGCTGACGTTATAAGATCCTCTCAGTCTGACCGGAGAGGACTCTCCTCCACCTTGGTGTAGAAACAGCCCTTTATATCCGTTAGCATAGCTAGCTAACCAGATGCTAACAACAACATTCCACGTTACCGCTCGCGCACTCACAAAATGCGCTCGTGCCATACACACACAGAGCTTGAATGAAACACAGAGACCCATGTACTTGTACTGTACTGTATATCATATTATTTTTGATGGCTTTACTGTATAATCAGTGTAACAGATGAACAGATCGCCACTGGGCTTTCATCTAAACACTCAGCCACGTAATGATAACAAAAAAAAGGTCGGGGGTCATTGGTCAAGCAACACACCAATCAGAGAGCAGCAGTGAGCACACCTCAGGCTGTGTTTTATATTTGTATTCTTTATTTCTGATGTATTTCACACAAAAAACCTTTAGTGGAAACGTTTTCACTTATATGATTAGAAAAAGAACAAAACGGCAAAGTGGCAAGGCTTGCCCACCCTGCGTTGGGGGGGCACAGTGACTCATTTGGGGGGGCATGGCCCGCGAATGACCCCCCATGACGCCGACCCTGTCTCTGATACCACCCAATGAATGCACTGACTTGCTTCTCGAACCACGCTACACAAAACAGATAGCAACACCTATAAAAACTATTTTAAAAAAGGGGCTACTGTATCGACATTTTAAAATTAACCTATATTTAAAGAAAAGGCCCTGACAAAACAGCAGGGCTCTATTTCAGTAACTATTAGCTATAGAAAAAAAGACAGCAACAGCTGACATCAAATCTTTGCTGAGCCTAAGGATAATCATAAATAAATAACATAGTGAAAATAAATATATTGCAATGCTCAAAACAGCAGCATCCAACCGTCTCTAATCCTTGGATATTACATGTCACCTGCATGCATGCACGGAGCAGCTGTAGCGCGGAGATCATCATCATCATTCTGTCTTGTATTACTTAAAGTGGACCTATCATGCTATATTTGAACAATATATTGTAGGGCCATATCTATATAAAGTATATATATGATTCTGTGAGCTGCAGCTGACCACGCCCCCCTGCAGGAGAGGGCAGCGTGCTCTGAGATCAGCTGCTGGGCTGTCAGAAGAGGGGGAGACAAAGAGATCTCCCTCCTCCGTGTTTTATTCTTATTGAAGTAAGAAGAGAAGTAATGGGGCAGAAACCCTCCTTTTTACGCAGCGGTCCAGACATAGACATCAAACGGCGACACATATTCTGTTGCCAGTTACTTTGGCATTAGGGCAGGGATATCTAGATACTTTCCAAGGTTTGACATCATGAATTGTACTACTTTTAAAGCAAGCAACGATGTTTTCAAATCTGTAATCAAAAAGCTCCTCAAAAACACTCTCGAAGCAGTTCCTGCCGTTGCTACGTTAGTTCAAACAGTAACAACGGACTATTTTTCTTAGCGGATGCATGTCAATTTAAATACATACAACTCAATAAATCAATAAAATAATTTTCTAAATCCATAAAAGCATTTCAATTAATATTGGGAGTCATGTCGTTAATTTGTTGAGAATGTGGCCATGTAATAAGCGGGATAATGTGCACATTGCATAATGTGCCTTCATGCCGATCTAGATCCCTCCGCAAAAAAACAAAACCCGGCTCGTTCGCGGGCGCGAGCCGGCTCCTGTCGTTCACTTAAAAGAGCCGACCGACACATCACTAATTTAATGTATTCATTGCTATCGGGATGTTAAGAGCATTCCATGGAATATAACAAAAAGTGTTTCTGCAATGAATTACCCACCCCACTTTTAACTTCCTTAAAATAAAATTGATAAAAGGACAGGACTCGTACAGTACTGCAGTTCGGTGGGATGCCATATCCAAGTGTCTACAATTCACACATATACGCACTTTGACGCAGCAACCACTGTAAGTTATATTCTTGTTTAATTAGACTTCTCTGTTTCATTTATTCGACTCTGTATAAGTGTTATTGTAGCTTAAACGGCTAAATCGCTTTTGAGAGATTTTAAATCTCAGATCTGCTCAGGCGAAACCTGCTTCACAGGTCTCAGCTCTCAATCCTGCATTAATATAGGCAGGGCCAGTCTATTGATTACGTGAAGTACAACCGCGTGACTCAGTCATTTTTTACCTAACAAAAAGCATTTAAATACCGCATTTAAAATCTGATGAACTCAGTGTGCATCTGAACCCGGTGACGACATTACCTATTGACGCAGCAACCACTGTAAGTTATATTCTTGTTTAATTAGACTTCTCTGTTTCATTTATTCGACTCTGTATAATTGTTATTGTAGCTTAAACGGCTAAATCGCTTTCGAGAGATTTTAAATCTCAGATCTGCTCAGGCGAAACCTGCTTCACAGGTCTCAGCACTCAAGCCTGCATTAATATAGGCAGGGCCAGTCTATTGTCGCCCATCAGCTGTAGATAGTTAACTAATTAGAGGGGCGTGGCCCTACAGCTGTGAGAACTGAGCAATCAGGCGTCCATTTTAGGTAGCTCTTTCCTGGAGCGTCAGCATCAGCGTCAGACAGCCGAAGACATTGGAGTCCTACGGGAGTAAGACTGACAAAGACATTGGAGTCCTATGGGAGTCACGAGGGAGGCAAAGAGGAGGCAAATCCTACTCTGATTGAGCTGGTGTCTTATTTCTCTTTTCTTTAGTTTTCTAGCCCCTCATGCTATAATCATGTGTATTTTCTCCATTCCTGTTCATGTGTCTTCTCGCAATTATCATTGACCCCGTGTATCTCCTAATCGATATAACCGGCCTGCTCTCGTCTATCCCACGTGCTCCACTGAGATCCAACATCTAGTTTCTGGTGGCCTGTGGAATTGCCAATCAGCTGTTCCTAAGGCTGACTTCATCTCTGGCTACGCCTCCCTGCAGTCTCTGGATTTCCTTGCTCTCACTGAGACCTGGATTACTCCATCCAACACATCCACCCCAGCAGCTCTCTCCACTGCATATTCCTTCTCCCATACACCCAGACCCACTGGCAGAGGAGGTGGCACTGGTCTCCTGCTCTCTCCCAAATGGAGCTTTTCCCTCTTCAAACTACCTAATTTCACTCCTTCCACCTTTGAATTCCATGCCGTCACAGTAACCCATCCTATACAGTTAACCATTGTTGTTCTCTACCGTCCACCCGGCGCCTTGGGGGACTTCTTGGAGGAATTAGATAATCTCCTCTCACACATCCCTGAAACTGGCCCTCCCGCTGTACTTCTCGGAGACTTCAACCTCCAGACAGGGAAGATAGACGAACTAACATCTCTGTTAACCGCCTTTGCTTTCTCACTGTCTCCGTCCCCACCGACTCATAAAGCTAGCAATGTCCTTGATCTCATATTCTCAAGGAACTGCGCTACTTCTAACCTCTCTTTAAACCCGCTCCACACATCCGATCACTTCTTCATTTCATTCTCTCTACCCCTTTCCAAACATAACAAACTAATCTCTTCTCATCCTGCACTTGTCCGCCGTAACCTTCGCTCCCTCTCCCCCTCTACCTTTGCCTCGTCGGTGCTCTCAGCCCTCCCTTCCTCTGACTCGTTCCAACTCCTGCCTCCAAACTCTGCTGCAGAAACTCTCCTCTCTACTCTCTCATCCTCTCTGGACTCTCTCTGTCCTCTCACATCTCTGCAGGCTCGTCAGTCCCCTCCTGCTCCCTAGCTAAATGATGCACTGCGTGCTAATAGAACCGTCCTTAGGGCAGCAGAGCGGAAACGGTGGAAATCCAAACACCGTGACGACCTCCTAACCTATCAGGCTCTCCTCTCCTCTTTCTCTGCTTCGATCTCTCAGGCAAAAAGCACTTTCTTTCAAGATAAGATCCAATCTTCCTATTCCAATCCTAAAAAACTATTTTCCATCTTTTCCACCCTCTTGGACCCTCCAAAAGCCCCTCCCCCCTCCTCACTTCTGTCAAGCGACTTTGTTACCCACTTTGAAAAAAAGGTTGATGATATTCGCTCTTCTTTTTCTGACTCACCTATACTCACCGCTGGCTCACCAGACCCTCCTTCCACCAACACACTAACCTCCTTTTCCCCTCTCTCTCCAAGTGAGGTTCTTACCCTCATTACCTCTGCCCGCCCTACCACCTGTCCTCTGGACCCTATCCCTTCAAACCTCCTTCAGACTATCGCTCCTGATATTCTACCGTTTCTCACCCATTTCATCAACACTTCTCTAACTTCTGGTCACTTTCCAAACAGTCTCAAGGAGGCAAGAGTAAACCCTCTCCTAAAGAAACCCACTCTCAACCCGTCTGATGTTATAAACTACAGGCCTGTCTCTCTCCTCCCGTTCCTGTCTAAATCACTTGAACGCGCTGTCTTTAAACAACTCTCCTGTTATGTCAATCAGAACAACCTTCTGGATCCGCACCAGTCTGGTTTCAAGGCAGGTCACTCCACAGAAACTGCTCTCATTGCTGTCACGGAGGAACTGCACACTGCCAAAACTGCATCCCTCTCCTCTGTCATCATCCTGTTGGACCTGTCTGCTGCATTTGACATGGTGAATCATCAGATCCTGCTTCGCACTCTCCAAAAACATGGAGTTTCAGGCTCTGCTCTTTCCCTCCTCACCTCATACCTCAAAGGCCGTACCTACAGGGTGACTTGGAGAGGGTCTGAGTCCGACCCTTGTCAATTAACTACAGGGGTCCCTCAGGGCTCTGTTCTTGGTCCCCTCCTCTTCTCCCTGTACACAAACTTGCTCGGATCAGTCATTAGCCCGCATGGTTTTTCTTACCACTGCTACGCTGACGACACCCAATTAATTCTGTCCTTTCCCCGCTCAGAGACCCAGGTCGTTGCACGCATCTCTGCTTGTCTAGCTGACATCTCTCAGTGGATGTCTGCTCACCACCTCAAGCTCAACCTTGACAAGACTGAGCTGCTCTACCTCCCGGGAAAAGATTGTCCCACTCTTGACCTAACAATCAACATCGGCACCTCAGTTGTTTCCCCGACTCAGACTGCAAGGAATCTGGGTGTGACCCTAGATAACAACCTGTCCTTCACTGCAAACATCGCTGCTACAACCCGTTGCTGCAGATACACGCTTTACAACATCAGGAAGATACGTCCCCAGCTGACACAGAAAGCGACTCAGGTTCTGGTCCAGGCTCTCGTCATCTCACGCCTAGACTACTGCAACTCCCTCCTGGCTAGTCTACCTGCATGTGCCATCCGACCTCTGCAGCTCATCCAGAATGCAGCGGCTCGTCTGGTCTTCAACCTTCCTAAATTTTCCCACACCACTCCGCTCCTCCGCTCCCTTCACTGACTTCCGGTAACTGCTAGAATCCACTTCAAGACACTGGTACTTGCTTACCATGCTGCGAATGGATCTGGCCCTTCCTACATCCAGGACATGGTTAAACCGTACACCCCAGCGCGTGCACTACGCTCTGCATCAGCCAAACGACTCGCTGCGCCCTCGCTGCGAGGGGGACCCAAGTTCCCATCGGCGAAAACACGTGGATTTGCTGTCCTGGCTCCAAGATGGTGGAATGAGCTCCCCATTGACATCAGGACGGCAGATAGCTTGCACATCTTCCGGCGCAAACTGAAAACTCATCTCTTTCGACTCCACTTCGAGCGTTAGAACTATTAACGAAGCACTTTTATACTAATAAAGGACTGGCTTACCTAAAGCCAGTTGAGTAGCACTTGAAATGTTTGGCTCTATGAAACCTGATGTACTTATATGATTCTGTTTTCTTCAAGGTTGTGTCTTCCTGGTCGAATGTACTTATTGTAAGTCGCTTTGGACAAAAGCGTCAGCTAAATGCAATGTAATGTAATATACAACACCTAAAAGCATGTACATAAACTGAATTAATTTAAGCACTCCTGTACACACTAACCTGGAATAAAACAAACAATTAGGGCCGGGACTTTAACGCGTTAATTAAGATTAATTAATTACACAAAAATTAACGCGTTAAAAAAATTAACGCATTTTAATCGCACTTATTTTTGCACCGCGGAACGTTTCTCACTGGATGAGTTTCAGGCGTACCGATTATACTGGAGCACCAACTAACGTTCATGACTTCAGACAACAACAAACCACAGTGAACAACAGTGGGAAATGTTGTTTTAAAAAACGGACGGATGGAAGCTGTTTCAGTCTGCAGCTTTATTCCGTAACTCACAACTCCATCACATGTATATTCTCGCGCTTGCGAAAAAAAAAGAAAAAAGAAAAAAAAATGCAATGTAATATAGTACATCACAGTGTAAGCCTGTGTCAGCATGCAGTTTACTAAAGCGCCAACAGGCGTCACTATATAGCAGGCATTAACAGATGCCCATATCTGTAACATCTCCTTTCCTTTAGCTGTAAACAACATCAGCATGTCACTTTAAAGTGCAGGTAAGAGCTACATTGTGTAAAGCTAACACTTTAACATTGTCAACCTCCAATACATGAAAACAATTACAATACTGATTAACCATGCAAGTACCGATACAAAACTATAATAATATCCAACAATTCTTTTTTTCTTTTTCTTTTTTCTTAACAGTCCAACAGACTTAGTGACAATGTTCCCAGTTGTATCACAGGTTCAGTCTCTGCGGCGGCCGACCACACCGCGAGTATACAGCTTGGCTCTCTGTACTCACTGGCTTCCCTGGTGTCAAACCCCGCCCTTGCGCCGGGACCCCTGGAGAGTGAGGAGGCTCCCCCAAACCTGTGTCATCCTGGACCGGGTCGGTTCGAGCTCCACCTGCAGCCCTCTCTGCGTTGACATGGCCCCGGTCCGTGTGGCTGCTCTGCTCCGGCCCTACCAGCTGTCGCATCCGGGCTGAGCGCTCCGCAACCCGCAGATCCACCCGGTTTCTCCTGTAGAGCGTGCCGTCCACCTCCACTACGAATGAGCGAGGAGCGACTTTCTGGAGGCATTGACCCAGTTGCCAACGGCCTGTGCGATCTCCTGGAAGAGGCCTCATCCTTATGTGTTCCCCAACATTCAGTTCTGGTAAGTCCCTTGCCGATATGTCGTAGGCGGATTTTGCAAGCCGCCGTTTCAACCGCAGCTTCTCCGTCACTCCCGTCACTAACCACGGTTGCAGCAAGCTGTCCGCAACCGGCAGCGAAGTCTTCAGCCTTCGTGACATTAAGCGTTGGGCTGGACTGCTGTCCAACCCCTCTGTGGGCGTGTTGCGCCAATGGAGAATGGCCTGCCATTTATCCGTGCCATCCAACTTTGCCCGCTTGCAGAGTGATTTCACTATCTTGACAGCTGACTCAGCTTTGCCGTTTGATTTTGAATATCTGGGTGAGGATGTGACATGGTTAAATCCCCACTTTGCAGCAAACTTCCTGAACTGTTCACAGGCAAACTGTGGGCCATTATCTGTGAGCACTTTGTCTGGCTGTCCGTAGCGTGCAAATTGAGATTTACAGCGTGTGATGAGTGTCAGCTGATAGATCCGGCAGAAGATCAATCTCCCAGAAGTCTGAATAGTGGTCCACTAGGACGATGAAATCTTGGCCAGCGTAAGAGAAGATATCCATACTCACTGTTTGCCATGGACGTGTTGGGATATCATGCGACATCAATGATTCCTTCTGCTGGGCTCGTGCATATTCATTGCATGCAGAGCAGTTCGACACATAGTCTTTTATCTCTGTTCTCATGTTTGGCCAGAACAGCGTATCCCTGGCGCGCCTGTAACATGCCTCCCCCCGATGTGGCTGGTGTGTATGCGTCTTAACAACTCTGCCCTCAAGGCCTTAGGGATAACAACGCACTGCCCTCTGTATAGCACACTGTTTTGCACGTTGAGCTCATCCCTGAAGGGCCAGTATTCTCGCACCAAGAGGGGGGTGTCCTCTTTGAAATCAGGCCATCCCCTGAGGATTACTGATGTCAAAGCTTGTAATACATCGTCCATCTCTGTGTGCTGGGCAATTTGGCGAAACCTGAAGTCAGTAACATCCAGATGCTGTGCCTGATCCAGCTCTGAGTCCTCCACCTGAAAGCTGTCCATGGAACACACCGCCTGTCGTACATAGGGGGTGTCGGAACCACGATACAGTGGAGTGGCCCTGCTTAGAGTGTCACTGACATACATCTCCGTGCCTGGTTTGTAAACAACATCCAGATTGTACCCCTGGAGCTGCAGTAACATGCCCTGAAGGCCTTTAGGCGCACTCATGAGGGGCTTCTTAAAGATGGTGATCAGTGGTTTGTGGTCTGTTTCTGCAGTGATTGTGTCCCTGCCGTATAGGTACTGGTGAAATCTCTGGCATGCAAAAACTATGCTTAAACACTCTTTCTCTATTTGAGCGTAGTTTTGCTCAGTCCGTGTCAGTGCGCGTGAGGCAAAGGCTACGGGCTGCCCCTTTTGCAGCAAGCAGCACCCCAGTCCATTCATGCTGGCATCACTCTGGATCGTTACAGGCTTTGTGACGTCATAATATTTGAGAACCGGCGTGTTGGTGACCATCCGCTTTATCTCGCGTATTGCATCATCGTGTTTTGGCAGCCAGTGCCATGCTGTGTCCTTATCCAGGAGTCTGCGAAGAGGCTCACAGATCTCCGATAGCCCTGGCAGGAACTTAGCCAGATATGTCACAAACCCGATCATGCGTTGCACTGCCTTAGCATCCGTGGGCGTCGGCATGTCCAACACTGCTTGAGTTTTCTCTGGGTCGATTTTCAGTCCTTCTGTAGACAGTACATGGCCGTGGAAAGTACAGCTTTGAGCTTGAACTGCAGCTTGCGTTCACTCAATCTGAGCTTCACAGCCCTGCACCGTTGCATGAGAGCTCTTAAGTTGGTGTTGTGGTCCTCTTCAGCCTCTGCGTCCGTATCGCCACACCCGACCACCAGGATGTCATCCGCAATAGGCTTGATGCCAGCCAGGCCTGATAGCAGCTCATGTTGCTTGCGCTGATAGATCTCTGGCGCCACTGAGACTCCAAACAGGAGTTTGAGCCATCTCATCCGACCCCATGGGGTCCAGAATGTCGTCAAGCGGCTGCTTTCCTCATCAAGCTTGCACTGGAGAAAGGCGTCACGAGCATCAACCAGTGTGAAGACACGAGCCTTGGGCAGTTTGTACAAGACGTCTTCTAGCGTTGGCATGTGGTAATGGGACCTGAGAAGTGCCTGATTGAGAGGCTTTGGGTCAATGCAGATTCTTATCTTGTCTGGTTTAGCTACTGTCACCATGTTGCTTATCCACGCTGTTGGCTCTGTCACTGGCGTAAGGTTGCCTGCTTTCACATGTTTGTCCAGCTCTTCCTTAACCCGGGCTTTTAGCGCTACAGGGACATTTCGTGGTGAGCACTGGACTGGTGTCACTTCAGGGTTCAGATCGAAATGAATATTACCTGGGACTGACTCGATCGGGTCATGGAAAACATCATGAAAGTCTTTCAGTAGCATTTCTTTTGTGAGTGGCATAGACTGGCTTGCATCAATAGTGTTCACCTCCGCTGGCAGTAGTTCTCTTGGAATAGTGAATTTCACAAGGCCCAGATCAGTGCATGCAGCACCACCGAGCAGGGGCTTTTGTTTGGTGTTCACTATCTCAAACACAAGTCTGTGTATTTTCCCCCTGACCACACAGTCAGTGTGAAATTTCCCCAGGGATGGCTTGTATGTATCAGAGTACAGCTTTAGCCTTGTTCTGGTCGGCTGTAAGGCTGTCTTTGGTGACAGTTTCTCTTTAAACTGGTGGCCCATAACATTACAAGTGGCCCCTGTATCTAGCTGGCATAGCTGTCTTTTCTTATTCAGGTGGAGGTGTACAAACCATTTGCGTCCAGGTGCTTTCACATTCCCCACATATTCAGTGACATTGTATAGGTTTTCACTTGTATCCGAGTCCCCTTCAGTTTGCTGTACATCCTCAACAACATTAACTTTTCTTGTTTTCTCTGCTCTGCTGCTGGCCTGACATACTTTTGCAAAGTGATTTGAAACGCCACATGCTCGGCAGGTCTTACCATAGGCTGGGCACTGCTCTCTGCCCCGTTTGTGTCCATTTCCACAGTATTTGCAGGTCCACTGCTGCTCTCTCTCAGCCGCTGTGTTTCTTTCAGCTGTTTTCCACTGTATTTTGCGTCGTCCGCCTTGCCTGTCCACCATAGAATTAATACTGTCCACCTGTGCCTGCGGGCTCTCAATAAGCCTCATGCGTGACTCCGTCAATTCTGCAAGGCGGCAAATCTCCACAGCTGTTGGCAGCGTTAGGTCCCGTTCACGCAGCAGTCTCCGTCTGGTGCTCTCGCTGGCAATACCGAGTACCAGCCTGTCCCTAATCAGTTCATCTTTTAGGTCACGGTACTCACATGATGGTGCTTTTTCCCTCAGCTTTGTTATAAAGCTATCGATCGGCTCGTCCGGTCCTTGTTTGCAGCATCCAAACGTGTATCTCTCATAAATCACATTTTTTGCCGGCTTGAAATAATCCCCCAACTCATCCAAGATTGTTTTGGGGTCTTTCTTTTGTTCCTCGGTCAGCGTGACGTTGTGCATATATATATATATATATATATATGCCGGCACTCGTTCCCCATAAACCGTCTCAGCGTGGCTGCCTGCACCGCATTCGTTTTTTCGGTCAGACATAGCGAGCATAAAGTCCTCAAATTCTGCTCTAAAAACCTCCCAGTTTTTGGCTATATCACCAGACATATGCATGCCCTCGGGTGCCGGAATACTGTTTGTCGTCATGACGTGAGTTTTCTTGAGCTTTTAGTCCAAGAAGACCACTTCTGACACCATGTTTCAGTCTGCAGCTTTATTCCGTAACTCACAACTCCATCACATGTATATTCCCGCGCTTGCGGATATAGTACATCACAGTGTAAGCCTGTGTCAGCATGCAGTTTACTAAAGCGCCAACAGGCGTCACTATATAGCAGGCATTAACAGATGCCCATATCTGTAACAGAAGCGTCGATAAGAGCACGGTGTGCAAATTATGCAAAAAGGAATTCGCATATCAACGCAGCACATCAAGCCTCAAGTATCACCTCAATGCAAAACATATAGCAGCTAGCGTGGAAGCTAGCGTGGACGTTAGCCTCTTTTATCGCGTTCACACCAAAAAGAGCCGGTACTAAAATTAGTTCATGAGAACCTTTTTACCCCCACGAAAGTAAGTCCCTGCTAGAGAGCTGCTAGAGAGCAGGGACTTTCGTGCGGCTGTCTTGTGAGAAAAGAGCTATATGTCTGATTGGCTGGGCGGATTGCAAACCACGCCCCGTAAAACTCCCAAAAAGTTTTGTGAAGCCGCCATTTTATTATCCTCGCATTAGCATTATTAGCATTAGCCCAGCGCAGAAACGCAGAGAGACTAATTTATGGCAACACAAAATAAAACATGGGAGATGAGGAGGTGTCGGTGTTCTGGTGATTTACTCGGAAGGCTTCAGTAGAAGCTGCTGGGACTCCCAGCAGCTTCTACTGAAGCCAGTCCCCAACTCCGGGGACTTCCGGCCGGGGACTTTGGGCGGCAGTATACGCCGTGAAGTGGTTTGCGGCCTGCCAGTAAACCCAAAGCAGAAGAAGAACAAGTGACGTCAGCGGCTTCATTTGCCTAATCCACCCCCAGGTTCAAAGAGTTCTCATGAACCTTTGTGGGAAAAGTACTGCGGTGTGAATGCGCCTAATGGTATACTAAAATCCATGTGAAAAAAATTGCTTCTCACTGTTCTCAGGTCAAATATTTATATGTGATTAAAAATGCGATTAATTTCGATTAATTAATTACAAAGCCTCTAATTAATTAGATTAATTTTTGTAATTGAGTCCCGGCCCTACAAACAATATAATATGGATGTCAGTAACACTGAAGATAACAGTAAGAACCATGGCACTAAAGATAAGGATATGCGTCTTGCAGCATCCCTATTTTGTTCACTCTGACACATCAAACTTGTATCATTAACTTTCATAAACTGTGAATTTACTTTGCCACCTGTTCCTCTTGGTGCAAGATGATCAGCAAGTTGTGAGAGTTGATGAGAAGAGCCCAGCAGGGCAGAGTGAACAGCAGCAGGATCAATGTACTCCTCTGGAGAATTACTCCCACACCCTTCAAGTTTTTACTGCCGTATGTCTGCAAAGACAGAGGAAAACAAATTTAAAAAATGAGTCTGATTGCATGGGTTTATAATATTGACTTTCTGTTGATAACACATCATAAAACAATAAAACAATTAGATAATGTGGTTTGCTCACCTGAGAAATGAGTGTGTCACTCGCAAGGGCGAGGCCATAGCCTGTTGCAGTCGTAGTGATGTTAATGGTCTGAGAGGAGGACAATCAAGAACAAGTGAATCAGAAGGGAAAAAAACGGTATATAAGACAGAAAATGATACAAAATCCAGGTGGAAAAACAGTTTTTTGAACATGAGCATGTGGTCTTCTTGCAGAAGAACTCCATAGATAATAGATCATCTATGTGTGGAAACCCTGCAACCCTGAGATTATATGAAATCTGAACAGATTTAATATTTTAAGTATTCAATAACTGATTCCAGTGAGGGGAAAGGGGAAAGGGTTCATAAACCCAGTCAAACTGAGAATCAACCCCCAGTCTGCAGCTTGCTGCAAGCCGAAGCCAATTTGAGTGCATTGCTTTTGTTTGCTGTTGGCCTAATTCAGTGTCAACTGATGCTAACCCCAACACACAACACACAACACTCTCACAACACAAATGTATCCTATTTGCCCAATGCCAAATGGCAGACAGCCAATATTGATGTTGGGTGAAGGAGCTCAATATCTAGCAAGCAAAAGAGAAACAGATATTTTCGCAGGCCAGGATGTCCAAAACTAACTGAGCTGATCGATCATGTGGGATTTTTTTTGTGTGTGTCTTTTTGGTCTAAATGTTCTTCCTGTTCTTTGTCTGCAGGATGTGTAAGTTAGCGACTGTTTGCAAACAATTTAGAAAGGACTTTAAAAGCTTGAGTATAGGGCTTGCATTAACGTGCACACCTCCCTACCACTACTGGGTGGAGGGGCATGGAAGCTCCCACGACTTTGTAAAAGTCTGAAAATGGGATGAATACGGAGTTGTGTCAGAGGAAGCAGAAATTATCCCATTCACCAAACAGTGAGTCAGTTGATCGCGGCTGTTGAATGGTTTCTTCTCAATGTGTCACTGAAAGGTTTAATGAGTTCAAACAATTTGTGAATCATCTGCTGTTGGCCTCATTAAGAATAACTAGATCTCAACTGACTACCAGTGAAGGATTTGAGAAACTGATGTGTTAGGCTGGTGTTTTGTTCGTTGACGGCTGTTTCTGCCAGATGGAGCAACCAATGTGAGTCAGGATAAGAATGTTATCTTCCTGCAGAGCTATGCAGCTACCTTTTGCTATTCATACAAATTGTGACAAATACAACGGTTACAAGCGTTGGTGAGAACGACACAGCTGTGCAGTTGATTGCACAACAGCTCTTTTACATGTTAAGTGTCTTTCAGGCATTCAGTATTGCCAAGTCTCTGCCACTTGGTCTATAAAGCTACGCATGAGCTACAAACGAGTATCATGACACCAAACAGATATAATACTAAAGATGTTCTAATTGGGAGTATGAACGTTTTCAGTGGACGCAGTAGACTTGTAGTAGTTATACTACTCTAGTTGCATCATTTATAATCAGAGTAGTGTACAAAGGGTTTAAAAGGGTAAAGGTCAAACTCAGGCAGTCATAGCATTTACCTCCTTGATTGCCAGATGCCTAATTCTCCTGTCCTGGAAGGATCAAGCACCTCCCAATTTTACTAGATGGATAAGAGACACTATGCACTTCCTTAAACTTGAGAAAATCCGGTACACTCTAAAAGGCTCTGTGCAGAAGTTTACAAAGATTTGGACCCCCTTCCTAAATTATTACGATAGTTTACAGATCCCCCAAAACCAGGATGACTTGAGCAATAGTTTGTGGCAGCAGCAGGACCCCCTCCCTTTCTTCTTCTTTTATTTTATTTTATTTATTTATTTATTTTATTAATTAATAAAAATAAAAAAAAGTATTGGTTATTTTACTTATCTTGTACAATAGTGGTTCCCACTGATGTGCTTTGTTATCCTTGTACATTGTATTATATTGTATGTACTGGCATTTTTTCATATATCCTTGGTTGGACAAAACCTCAATGAACAATCATCCTTGTGAAGATCTGGAAGGGGACCGGTGGGGAGGGTCGGGTGTGCGGGATTGGGTGGGATGCAATGCTATTGAATGTATATTTCTTCTAATTTTGAAATCTCAATAAAAACTGTTAAACAAAAAAAAAAAGGGTACCGCTGAGGCCAGTGCGTATCCTGCCAGTTCTGCATTGCCAATGTGACCACAGAATATGGTGTTAACAAACGGCAGGAAGAAGTTCAGAATCCGAGACAGCAGCTGCAGAAACAATCAGAAAGATTTGACTCATTTCAGACCATCAATGACTGAAAACTGAGGCAGTACAATATGCTCTAATAGTAACTGGACTGCTTATGCGTGCTCAGCTTTGGGAAATCAAAAAGCATAGACAGGTTTAAGCATCATTATATATCATTGCATGCTGTGTACATATTACATAACTGCATATTCACTGTTATGCAACATTCACCAGTAACTCTGCACACAGTGAATATAAGAACTAAGTGTATAACAGTGGTGGCACTTTATGAATAACATACCAATCCCCCCCAACAAACAACACTTCAACTTTCCCCTACTCACCAGTGGGCCCGTGAGCCGTAACACTTGGTAGAGTTCTTCTCTGTAGACCAGTGGTACCCAGCGTCTCACGCATGCACACCGAAACAGTTTGGAGCTGACTGCTGCCTCGTCTTCCTCGTCTTCCTCGGCACCTGAGCTCCTGCCAACAGAAACCCCAGCAACGGGCCCTGCACCCGGCGGAGGGTCTGCAGGATCCGGGGAGCCCAGCTTCTCCATTCAAACTCAGGAAAAGAAGAGAGAAGGGAGAGAGGAGGGAGTAAAGCCAAGGGAAAGGGAGGGAGTGGGGAAGACGAGAGAGCAAGGAGAGGGGCAGTCGGTCTATCTGGGTTCAGGAATACAACACATGCACTTGTTATTGTTGCATAATGTGGTTTGGAGGAGGAGTGAGGAGAAAATAATGATTAAAAAAAGGGGAGAGTGTCATAGTCTGCTCCATCATTCACCAGTAGTTTTCTATTCACCTGTCTCACCTGTTTTCCACATCCACTCGTTAGCTCACTCTCTTTCTCTTCTGCACCCATTAGCTTCTGCCAGTATTTAAATCCGCACCTTACACACACTCTTTGCCAGATTGTACTTCTCATGCTTGTCTTTCCCGCGTTTGAAACTAGATTGCCTACCCGGTTCCGACCCTGCCTGTCCTCGATCTGCCTGCTCTGCCTGTTCCCTGATCCTGCCTGTATCTACGCTGACCGCCTCGCTTACTCCCTGACTCTCTGCCTGTCCCTGACTCACCTTCTGCCCGCTGTCCTCCGGTGCGTTAAACTGCTCGGTTGGTATTCCTCAGATCCAGTGGAATCTCCAATAAAGTTTATTACCAATTCTCCTTGGTTTCTCGAGTGCTGCATTTGGGTTCTCCTTAAGATTGTGACAGAGAGAAAGAAAACAGGGAGTGGAAAAGATCAAAAGTCTTTATTTGTGGATACAATGGTCAACGCAGGGCCGATCAATGTTTCTTGTGACTTGTAAGGGAGTTAGTGAAGCTGGACCTGGTGGTCTTATTTGGTTTAGGAGTAATCTGATGAGGAATGCCTGTATGCATATTTTAGACAAAGAGGCATGATGGCATAATCTCTGCAGGCTTCGGTGAATTATTTACCTGCCAGCCGTGCTGTTCATGTTTGTGTGTGCGCACATTAACAACTGATCTTATCTGCCTCTGATCGAACTTTGACCACTGACTTTGGCCTCTGTATGTTCTTGTCACCCAGCCAAATGTAGGAACATCAATTTTCTCCTAACAGAGCCCTGCAACCTAAACATTTACTCACCAGCATCTACAGGTATCCTCAACGTAATTTTAAGAAGTAACTGTAACTGAGTAACAGTATGGATTTACTCAATGGTATTCATCTTTAGTTTCTCAAGACTATTTCAGGAATTGCACATAAATCTGCTTACACATTACAGCTGAGGAGGGCACAGGTGAAAAAGTGTGTGTGGTGAGAAAGGAGAGATCCCTGCATGGGTCTATCTTCTATAAAGTAGGTGCAACTTATGGTGCAACTACACGGAAAGCGCTCACTCTTCCATAACTATCAATGTGGCAATTGTTGTTAACCTTTAACTCACATAAGAATTGTTGCGCTGTCATAGACTATATATCATGTTCCAATTATAAAAAGTCCAACGGTTAATGTTTTAAATTCCCTTTAACAAATACACGGGCAAATAAATATAGGCCTACAACTAGCCCTTTTTAACTCTGTCAAAATCACATAAGGGATTTTTCGATTCCAAAAAGCCGTGTGACTGAAAAAAGTGGGTTAGACACATGCCTACCGTTTTAAGAAGCTTAAAATGTTTTTCTCAGGGATAAGACAGAGGAAATAACGATATCTAAGTGCCAGTATTTGTCATGCAGTTTCAAAGTGGTTGTCAAAAGACTTGCAGTGGGTCATTCAAATCTACTTAATCAAACTCAGATGTAGTGTAACAGTCTAGAAGGAGCAACCTTGTGCAAGACGTGACTACAAAAAGTACCTGGTTAATGCCTCTCTCTAGTGGGTAAGTGAGGGAGGGCTGTTGGAAACATGCACACACCTGAATAAAGTAAATACAAGTATACAATAGTCCTGGTAATATGGCCTGATAATACTGCACATGTCAGATAATGTAGTGATGCATTAGCAAGTGATATTTAGTATGTTTTCAAGCTAGTGGTGTGTTTTAACTCTGTTTTCTAGCTATAGTTTAGTTTCATAACAATTATAAATGTTTTGGACATATTAATATGATAAACCCTCAGCAGTCATATAGGTCAGTGGTTAGAGCTGGTTGCCAATGTGCGATGTCTGCTGCCAGGTACACAGGTTTGAATCCTGACCCCGACAAAGTGATAAGTGATGTCATCCCCTAACCCAAATAAATGTATCCTTACCTGAAAACAAAAATGCATCCATGTTGCATCTTTGCACACTGGCACAGAGCATACAAACGAAATACCGAAGAACACAGAGGACCTATTTTATCAGTGTAATATGTTAAGGTCAAGATCATATAGGTACTATGGTCAAGGTACTTCTACTTTTACTAAAGAAATGTATTGGTTCAACTTGCTGTTGGGTAGTTAAACCTATCGTGTTTCAAAAGATCGTTTTGTAAACTCCTAATATGCAAAGGAACAGCTAAGTGCAGTGGAAAGTATTTTGAGTAGTACCTGAACATTGTAATTACCTACCGTTTTGAGTACATTTAGTTTTACACAATGGGTATGTATCACAGTATCTAAGTAAATAATTTGTCAGAGGAGAACTGGCATGCTGCTGCTGTTTTAAAGGGCAATGTAAAAACACTATATTGCAGCTTTGTTATCTGTTTATGACAAAGATGTTTTTATTTCAATGCGTGTTGGCCTCTTCTTACTGTCAATCAAAGCTTACAGCACAATTAATACATCCCTTTAAACGTTGCATGTCTTTTCATTCAGATACATCAAAATAGCCTGAATGTAATTCTCTTCTTGCATCAGGAAATACAGATCATCTGAATTTGAACATTAGCAGACTGTGACTCGCTTTATCTGGTTAATAAATAAATAATTGTGCTTTAAAAACCTTCAACTGTTGAAAGCAAATATGAAAAAACCCGTAAAAATATTTTTATTTGTTACAGAAGATCCACACCCTAGAACGTTTAGTACTATTGTAATGACTAAAGCCAATAAAAAGCGTGTCCTTGTGTTTGCACATTTTAACTATGCAACAATAAAAATTTAACAATCAGGTGGGAGGACTGAAAGGTTGCTGGCAGGAACAGGAAAGTAGAATGATGAGAAAAGAGTGAAGGAAGCTATAAAAAGGTCCTGATGTGCATGTGAAGCATTTCAGAGCTACTGTCGATCCCAATACTCCTCCGCCTTCTCCTATCACACACAGGAAACATTTGAAAGAATACAAAGACAAGAAAAAAGAAGAAATAATCACTTTCAGGTAAGGGGGTACTGTACGTCTCGTACATTTTAATAAAAGAACATTTGGTAATGTGTTGCTGGTATAGGTTATTCTCTCTTTCTTTGTGTTTTTTAATCAAACTGACATTACATTGCTTAACTTTAAGTAATGAATGTCAGCAAGAACACACTGTCTCTTTTAAGAAAGGCATTCATAGGATACTTTAATACAAAGGGATAGTTTCACAGCAGATCTAACAGGCAGGACTTTCTAAATGTAGTCTTCACAATCTTGCAAAAGCAAAATGAGAGAGAACACAGCGTAACACTAACATTGGTTTACTTAATGCAACACAATATGACGGCTTCATTCGGTTTATTGCTAAAAGATTACATATCACAATAGTTCAGATATTCTGAACATGATCTGTCCTATACACTTAATGAGGTGATTACCAAACTCTAAGTGTGTATTTAATGTATTTCAACTCAATGAGAAAAATCTATCTGATCACATTTTGTATGTTTAGGAAAACACAGCATTTTATTTTGTGCTCCTAAAACCATTCTTAAAACCAATCCATCATCATCTTGAATCATTCATGCACAACATTTTAATCCTTGGATCATTATTCTCGAAGCCTGTTTAACAATTTGATTGTTTTAGGCCTATTAGAAGTACACCGGAGAAAAGGTTTACCCTGCAAACAAACATAGATCGACTGAGAGAGTGGAGGGAAATTGGAAAGTTATACCGAGGGAGAAAACACAAATCATTAATTTATGAAGTCGTTTGTTTGTGTCACAGATGTTGGTAACCTAATGAGGTAGAGAAAAACTATTGAGAATATTCTGCAAGGTTTATTTATTTGTTGCAATAACAAAGGAAACACAAAGCAATATAAAAACGTTATAAACATTTGAATAATGCATTTCAGAGACTCACTGCTACACATTTGGAGCCACTTTATATTGTTTTCTCTTAAGAAAATGCTTATGTATATGTGACTTAAATTAAATGAGAGTTTTGAATGTATGAAAGGTTTTATATTATTCTCATAAACTGTATCGTTTCCTCACCTTTATCTTTATCCCATGAAGAGCCAAAATGGAGTTGATGTTCAGAGCCCTTCTTTTCCATTTGCTACTGTACTGTGCAACCCAGACATCAGGTAAGTCTGGTCACCAACAATTAAACTATTTTTCCTCTTTTCAGACAAATTCTAACCTTCTCCCCCTTGTGTTTCCTAAGGTGTCACAATCCAGACGGTCCCACCAGCAGTCGACAGTGAGGGTGTTATACAGACCGAGCTCGAGAAGACTGTGTCCCTGGTCTGTCAGCCTGACGGCGGCCATGAGGCTGACGAAGAGTTGCAGTGGCTGAGGAATGGCTTCGCTGTCCACCTGACAGAAGAAAATAGGATGGGCCACAGCAGTGTGTGTGTTACACCCGTGCTCTATGAAGACAACGGGGCCACTTTCACCTGTCGCCGGAGAAATAATGCCACAGCTATGGCCTCAGTCACCCTGAACGTCACATGTGAGTCACTTCAAATAACCACTTCAAATTATGTTTAACTTAAAAATGATAATAAACATTTTGGAATTGTAAGGGTTTTGGGGATGCATTAGGAGAAAAAGGAATATTACATTTATGTTAAACTATCTTAAATCATGCTTGGGATGCCAATGCCAGTCTGTTGGTCCAACACATTGGTCCACACTGAACTTTTCTATTCAACTTTGGACTGACGAGAAAACTATTTAAAATCTCCAGAGGATAATTTTGCTCTAGAGCCAACAGCCTTTTAGGCTTTGCTGAGGCGCAGTAGTAGTAGATTTTGGACCCTTTATGATGTCATAACGTGTTTTTGACTTGTGTAACCATTAGCCAATAACCAACCAAGGTAACCCCCCCCCCCCCCCCCCCCCTTATCACCTGAATCTCCTCCTAGAGCATCATTGTGTTCTTTTTAACCAAATATCTCTCAGAGGGGCGTGGGGAGGGGCTCCTTGTTTTCATCTAAAGTAACAGACAGAGAATCAGCACTTTTGAAACAGGGCTGAAACAGAGGGGATTATGGGTAATGCTGCAATGATCTGTTTGGTGTTTGGAGCCAAACACTTCAGAGACATGTTTTGTATATATCTGAGACCTATAATATATTGATGAAAAACAGTATAACAGGGGACTTTTAAGAAAATAATTATGAGACTATATGTTATTGGGAACCATGAATGTCTGTTCAACGACTAATGGCAATCCATCCAAAAGTTGTTAGGATATTTCAGTCTGAACCAAAGTGATGTACCAACTGTCTGACATCAATAAAAGCCGTAACGTTGCTGAAACTGCTGGCTCCTAACATACAACTGAAAAATGTCCCCCTTCAGATCGCCCTCAGCTCTCTGGGTCTGAGGAGGTTTCAGTAGAAGAGGAGTCAATGCTAATCCTGCAGTGTGACATCTGGGCCAATCCTCCAGTCTCTTCTGTGTCTTGGTCACTAAATGGAAGTGCCGTGGATCTATTAGCAGGTGGCTTTTCTGTGACCAATGACGGCTTCACAAGCACAATATCCGCAGACAAAGTGGAGAAAAGCTTGCATGAAGGCATGTATCAGTGCACAGCTGAGTCTCCCATCTATGGAAGTCACAACAAAAAATTCATCGTCACATTAACAGGTCAGTTCACACAGTCAGTGTAATCAGCACTTGAAGGGATGAATCATTAATAAGATGCAAGAAAATGTGGGTTGATCATTGTTTTCATCCCAAACTGCAGACAAGACCCTGACTATCCCACTGATACCATTCATAGCAGGGCTGGTGGTAGTCTTCTTTACTGTGCTTCTTGCCGTTGCTTCACGATGGAACAGAATTAGAAAGGTAACACACGTAACACAGAAAACACACTTACATGCAGTAACACACTAAACCTCTCGTTTTTATTTTCTCTTTTGACAGTGCTGCAAATAGGCTGTGCCCAAAACAACCATACTTGGGTACTTCATCAAATGAAAGAAAACAAAGAGACATCATGACTCAGCGTATGTGTGTGTGTGTGTGTGTGTGTGTGTGTGTGTGTGTGTGTGTGTGTGTGTGTGTGTGTGTGGTGTGTGTGTGTGTGTGTGTGTGTGTGTGTGTGTGTGTGTGTGTGTGTGTGTGTGTGTGTGTGTGTGTGTGTGTGTGTGTGTTGTGTGTGTGTGTGTGTGTGTGTGTGTGTGTGTGTGTGTGGTGTGTGTGTGGGTGTGTGTGCGTGCATGAGGGTGTGCGTGCGTGTGTGCGTGCGTGCGTGTGTGTGTGTACGCAAGACTGCGATCACTAATTTAAAAATATTATCATATTGGAAAAAAATGTAAAGAGTTTTTCAACAATTGGGGATATTGCTCACTTGCCTAGCATTCTGCAATCTGTCTGTTAACTTAGCTTCACACCAACACTGAAATAAAATGCAAACTACTAATCCTAGCCTGGTTCTGTCTAAAGGTATCCCCCCCATAAAGCCAAAATGAAATGTACAAGTGTTATACGGATTAAAAAGTTAAGATAAAATAGAGAGCTTTAGGGATGCTAAATTGATTGTTTTACCTTTGGGAAAAGCCGATCGCTACTTACAATCTTTGTGCTAAGCTACGCTGATTGGCTCTTCGCAATCTGAACCAATCTTCAGCAATATGATATCAAGCAATTTCCAAAAACGTCCTTCGAAATTGGACGATATGTAGGATGCTGTTGACTGTATAATCTGTCGATTATGTCGTTTGCATTATGACCTTGAGATCGTCCTTAATCGTGTTACTTTTCAAAGTGTGATGTACAATTGCCTGTTTCTTGTTATTATCTTTGAAATAAAAGTGCTTTTGGTTCCTCACCACCTTGGTCTCTAGTTTCGATATTTGCACTAAACGTTAACTCCTGACTCAACAAAACAATCAAAGCTTGTTAAAATGATGTTATACATTTACTTATAATGAGACCAAAGGACTTCCATGTCATGGGGTTCAAGGTCTAGATCTTTGGCTGTTACCAATAAAGAAACACTTAAAAGGTTCACATCAAATATTGCAGCCTCACTGTGTGACGAGCTGCACAGTGCACAATAAAATGTGGTTATCAAATATACAGAATGAAGAAAAGTAAGTTATGGATTTATCTTTTTGCTTGGTTTTGCCTGCAGTGTACAAAACACAACAAACTCTTACTGATATGTGATGGGTCCAGGCTCAAGGGCGTATGGCACTCTCAACTCTTTCCAGGACATGTCGGGGCCCTGCCTGCCAGTAGCTTTGCTGATATCTGTGTTGATAGGTAATAGATTAAGAGCGGTGAATCATAGAAACAGGAAGCGCTCAAACGTTTGTGTGAGTGTATCTAATTTAGCAGTGATTCCATGTCAGCCACAGCTTGTTACAAAAAACATGACTGATAGTGTGTTTAACAAACTTAAACTAGCTTTATTAAATGTCAGGTCTTTGGCAGGAAAAACATTTTTAATCAATGATTTTATCACTGAGCACAATCTCGATTTTGTGTTTTTAACAGAAACTTGGATTGAACAGAATAACAGTGCAGCTGTTCTTATCGAATCAACCCCTCCCAACTTTAGTTTTATGAGTCAGGAAAGAACGCATAAGAAAGGAGGTGGAGTTGCTATTCTGTTCAATGATTCCCTTCAATGCAGGAAGACATCGTATGGAAACTTTGATTCTTTTGAATATGTGGCCCTTCGGCTGAAATGCTCCTCTCGAGCTCTGTTCCTAAATATCTATAGACCACCCAAATACTGTGCAAGCTTTTTTGATGACTTTACTGAACTGCTGTCTATAGTGTGTATTGACTTTGACCGTCTAGTCATTGTTGGTGATTTTAACATCCATGTTGACAACCCCCAGGACAGAGGGGCTAAAGAACTATTTTGTGTTCTTGATAGCTATGGACTGACTCAGCATGTGACGGAGCCCACGCACAATAAGGGGCACACTCTGGACTTAATTATCTCAAAGGGTGTGAATATCTCTAAGGTTGTGGTGACTGATGTTGCACTCTCTGACCATTCCTGTGTTTTCTTTGAGAGCTCTATTTCTGTTCACAAAAATGTTCAAAAAGAGGTAACCACAAAGCGATATTTAACTGAAAATACTAGGGAAATGTTTACTCAGAATTTCTCTTCCACACTGGCCCCTGCCAACATCTCAGTAAATGAGCTAGTAGATCATTTTAATTCAAAAATTAAAAATGTTATAGATGCCATTGCTCCAACTAAGGTAAAGGAAGTGTCTGGCAAGAAAATATCTCCATGGAGAAAGGCCATGAGCGTGAAAACAGAAAAAAGAGAATGTCGAAAAGCTGAACGCAGGTGGCGAAAAACAAATCTCCAGGTTCACTTTAAAATCTATAAAGAGAGACTTGGCCTTTATAATTTGGAATTGAAAAACGCACGACAATCGTTCTTCTCTGACATCATTACCAAAAACAAAAACAACGCACGTGCCTTGTTTGCTACCGTCGACAGACTAACTAACCCCCCAGTGTCAGTAGCCTCTGAATTTCTATCCACCAGGGCGTGCAATGATTTTGCCTCCTTCTTCACTGACAAAATTCAGAACATCAGACAAGCAGTCAGTGCCTCTGCATCAGGAACAGCAAATGGGTTGTCCCTATCTCCACTTAACATCAATTCAGACATCATGACACAATTCCATCAGATTAATGATAAAAACCTAGAGGACATTATTCAACTTCTGAAATCCTCCTCTTGCTGCCTTGATATTATTCCAACAGGATTTTTCAAAGATGTTTTGCCTTGCATGGCCTCAGATCTACTTCATATAGTAAACAAATCTCTTCACTCAGGTATTTTTCCACAGGCCCTGAAAACTGCAGTCATTAAACCGCTCTTAAAAAATAATAATCTAGATGCTTCAGTAATGAACAATTACAGGCCGATATCAAACCTCCCATTTCTAGGTAAAATCATTGAAAAAGTTGTTTTTCAACAGTTGAGTAATTTCTTGCATTTAAATGGCTGTTTTGATGTGTTCCAGTCAGGCTTTCGTCCAAACCACAGCACTGAGACTGCTCTTGTAAAGGTCTTTAATGACATCCACTTAAACACAGACAGTGGCAGAACTTCAGTGTTAGTATTATTAGATCTCAGTGCTGCGTTTGACACTGTTGACCACAGCATATTACTAGACCGACTGGAAAACTGGGTGGGACTTTCGGAAACAGTTCTGAATTGGTTTGAATCCTACTTAAAGGACAGAAACAACTTTGTTTCTATAGGTAAATACACATCTGAGTTGACAAATATGACATGTGGGGTTCCTCAAGGCTCCATCTTGGGGCCTCTTCTCTTTAACATCTACATGCTACCACTGGCTCAGATAATGAAGAACAACAAAATAAGTTACCATAGCTATGCAGATGACACACAAATGTACGTAACAATTTCACCAGGAGACTATGCTCCAATTCAAACACTGAGTAAGTGCATTGAACAAATCAATGACTGGATGTGTCAGAACTTTCTCCAATTAAACAAAGAGAAAACTGAGGTAATGGTTTTTGGAGCCAAGGCAGAACGTATAAAAGTTAGCGCTGAGCTTCAGTCTGCAATGTTCAAAACAACAGATAAAGCCAGAAATCTAGGTGTAGTCATGGACTCTGACCTGAGTTTCAACAGTCACATTAAAACAGTTACTAAATCAGGCTACTATCACCTAAAGAATATATCTAGGATTAAAAGACTAATGTCACAGCAGGATTTGGAAAAACTTGTCCATGCTTTTATCTTCAGTAGACTCGACTACTGCAATGGTGTCTTCACAGGTCTCACTAAAAAATCTATTAGAAAGCTGCAGCTAATTCAGAACGCTGCTGCTCGAGTCCTCACTAACACTAAGAAAGTGGATCACATCACTCCAGTTCTGAAGTCTTTACACTGGCTTCCTGTGTGTCAAAGAATAGATTTCAAAAATACTGCTGCTGGTTTATAAAGCACTGAATGGTTTAGGCCCAAAATACATTTCTGACCTCCTGCTAAATTATGAACCATCCAGATCTCTCAGGTCTTCAGGGACTGGTCAGCTTTCTGTCCCCAGAGTCAGAACTAAACATGGTAAAGCAGCATTCAGTTATTATGCTCCAAATATCTGGAACAAACTCCCAGAAACCTGCAGGTCCGCTACAACTCTGACTACTTTTAAATCCAGGCTGAAGACTTTTCTTTTTGTCGCTGCTTTTAATTGAACTATTCATATCTTAGACTGCACTGTAACTTTTATCCATGTACTTTTTTTCTTTTAATGTTTAATTGACTGCACTGTAACTTTTATCCATGTATTTTTCCTTTTAATGTTTATTTTATTAGCTTTTCTTTTTAATGATTTTAAATGCCATTTTCTTAATCTCTTTCATTTTTTGTAAAGCACTTTGAATTGCCTTGTGTTGAAAAGTGCTATATAAATAAACTTGCCTTGCCTTGCCTTGCAGGTTAATTTTTCAGTAAAGAATATAATGTCAGGCACTTCAGCAAGCCTGATTGTATCCACAAGTCAGTAATTATTAATAATGTGAGGTAGATGTGTTCGACCTTTTGGAAATAGGTCTCATGTGCAAATGACATGCCAAAAATAAAATGTTTATTTGCTAATTGTCTTAAACTGTTTTTGAAGAATGCAGGTTCATCGCATATAGAATTACCAGAAATGTATGAAGTGGAAACAAAAGTATAAACTCAGGCTGGTTAATGCTTTCATTAAAGTTCTACAGACTAAAACAACAGGCTGACAAAGGCCTCTAGCTCTGGTGGTTTGAATGTTTGAGATGCAGGTCTGTAGTGACATCTGCTGGTCACTTTACTTCAAACCTTTTCTTTCCAATTTAATGAGATTTGTGTTTAAAGGTCCCATGACATGGCCATTTCTACTGATCATAATTCCATTGTTGAGGTCTACTAGAATAGATTGTTCAAT